CCCATTTTAAAGATTCCCGCTTTTAAAGATTCCCCATTTTAAAGATTCCCCGTTCCCCGTTCCCCATTCCGATTCTCCGATTCACCGATTCTCCGATTCTCCGATTCCCCGATTCCCCGTTCCCCGTTTTAAAGATCTCATTAATGGAACCGTGGTCAGTTTCAGAAGATAAAAATAACTTTACTGTGCATTTATCGGTCACCACTCAGTGACCACTGGCGTGTCAAATTAGTCTCAAAATTCCAAGACATTACTAACCTTTACAAATGCTTCAAACACCAACCATCGGTTTCATTTGACGTACCAAACATTTTTCTGCTTTTTGATCAGCGCATTCGAGTTCCGACACATAAGAACATCTAGAATACTACTGCTGTTTATTCGCAAAGCAGGTAGACTGATTTTACAGTTACTGAGGAAAACAATAGACTGTGATATTGAGTTTTCTAGAAAACCAGAAGTTCATAACCTTGAATGTCTCGCAAGCCCTTGAGCGTGGCACAAATCCGTTTCGAAAAACCCCTATCCTTGGCTTGCATGTGACGTCATCATTTTTCTAAAATGTAAAACTAAAGGACTACCAAAGATTTTATCCTCATCAGGCATAAGAGGGGGTAAATTTATATCTCTTTACAATTTTTCAGCTCAGTAGCTTGCTTCGTCTGGAAACCAGCGTATTTTGAATGTTAGAGTTATGGCGGTACGTGACATAAAGCTACGAAAGCGTTTGTCGAAAAATATATTCTCAGCTCGTGACTTTTAGCCTATTCAGAAGTCAAAGTATTAGGAAAGTGCTTGTGTAAATCCTTGTTTGTTCAGTACAGATAATCAGTCGCCTAGATAGACAAAGTAAGTTCCAGATGTTTACACTATTTTCCGGCCGCCATGTTGTTGTCCCACGAAGCTACACCAACATGGCGGCTCCATACTCAAACAGAAAATGGTAACAGGTTGAACAAACCCTTACGAGTTTCTTGTAGAAGATAATAATTGCATGATATTCCTGAGACTGAATTCTTTAATATCAGTAAGAAAACTCCAATTTCCTGTATATTTTGTCTGTTTAACAGACCGTTGCACTGGAAATCGGTCTGCTGAGTCATTTTAGAGGAGCAATGTTTTGTACTCCTTACACCAAAATACTGTTTACGATCTTATGTAATGTATGAACACCCAATTCTGACTACACTCACACGAGACATTCAATATGAAAAGTTTATTGAGGATACGTCAGTCAGCCATCAGATTCAATGTATCCTAATGTTTACCTCACAAATTTAACTAATTGTCCCAAGAATTAGAACCTGTACTACGCCAGATACGAATACCACTAAAAACCACCCTTTATATGTGGCCAAAAAACATGTGGAAACGTATTCCTCATCTAATGCAGCAGCAAGAGTTTTCGAGGAAAGGGTATCCTACAATTATTTACACAAATTGATCAAATCGAAGCATAATCCTAAAAAATAAAGCGGGCGAACACTATGACTGACCGATCTAGAATGACTTAAATCTCCCGCCAAAACCTAAAATGTCCCTAAGCATCCCGTGATGGACCGCGAGTCTCTCCAACGTGCCGTCAGAATAATAATTTCCGACTAATTTGTCCCTCAATTGTCAGAAATTATATTCTTTACTTCTGAATGCCAATTCATTGGCGTTCAGAAGTATTGTTAAGGGTGCGAATTTCACTCACTCACTCTCGATCCATTCCTGTTAACTTCGCAGCAAATCCGCTGACCAGGGTAAACAGCTTGTAAAGTACGTTAAAATAATTAGGTTGAGCTTTATCATTTGAAAATTTGCAGATTTGCTGTCGGATCTCTGATGCGAATAATAAAGTAATGGACTTTGTCTTTAAATGTGCTAGCCCTGCAACCCTTAACTGAACTTGTATACGCGTAAATCTGTTTAAACCTTCGCCACCTTCTGGTGATCTGAAACGAAATGAAGTCGCTAATTATTTATGTACTTAACTAGATAACCTTTAAGGGTATTGTGCGTAGTGTTTAGTAGCCTTGTATAAGCGTATAACCTTCCATCTTCTGGTACTTTTATTCGCTTTATTGTGCTGTTCTACTGAAGCAAGCAAACGAGGTCTTGATAACAGATCGCTAAGGTTTTAAACTTTGTTTGTAGATAATTGTTGCTGCAAATACTTAAGAAATAGTAAGCGTGTAGGGTGCAACAATCGGGTTATGGATGTACGCGGGAGGTTGCTGAGCACGAAAGAATCGTAAGAGTCGCACGAGGCTATCGCCTCGTGCGACTCTAGTTTCTTGAGGGCTTAGCAAACCCCCCAAGTTTATATATTTGTGCAGTTGCGTTGTCAGTGGAACGAATATATCGTGGGTAGTTTCAGGTTTTTTAGTAATACGTAATCTGTTTTATCACTTTACGAAATAGCGACATCAGGCCGCCCTGAGCGTCATACAGTATAAGCGTTCAACCCCAATCAATTACGGAACGTAGTAAAATTAGTTCTTTGTTAGAAAGACTTTCGGAGGCTTGAAACTTTCCTTCCGGCAATTATTGTTCCACAGAATGTAAAGAGATATACGCTTAATTAGATAATCAAAAGCCATTATTAAAAGAGGTGTGGCGCTGTATATCACAAAACAAAATACATCTACAGAGATAGTAAGGAAGGGCAAATGCAACAAAAGAATGGATAAAGGAAAACTTGTATTTGATTATTTTCTCTGATATGTCACAATACGAATTTATTTCGCATGATTGCACTCGATCTTTTTAATTGCTTTACACATGTAACGCATATTAGCATGGAGAATGTCACGTTTTTTTTAAATAAGGAATCTTTTTTTGGTTCAAAAGCAGTTTTGCTTAATTTCCTTTTTTAATTTTAACAAAAAAAGTTAGCAATTAACGTCCCGGTTTGCTAGAGCTTTGTTACAGCTTTGGTTGAATTTCGATACCTTAGAAGCAATGGAGATAACAAAAAAATTAATTTTTTATTTTATTTTAGCGGTGCTTTTGACAGCCAAAAATTGCGGTCATTAAACGTCAAATCCTGCATCCCTAGAAACTAATCAGTGGGACCCTTAAATTCACAATAATGCTATAAGTTTACTGTCAAACATCGATTGCTTTAAAGTTAGGGGTAGTAAGAAGAAGTCTTTAAAAAGACTGATTCAAAGCTCACAGTAACTTGCAATGGGAGCTAACCTAAATATTCATTTACTTTGTAGGAGGCGAAAAACGCGGATTCAGGTAAGAAGGGACCATTTCGTTTTCTTGTTAACCGAGCTCTAGGGCTGCACTGGGACAATAGTGCTCGAGGTCTTTCTGTTACGAAGAAAGATCAAGGACGAAATTCTCCCAATGCGACCTTGAGCCTATGAGAGCTGATTATGTGGTCTTTATTACATTTTACCGTCCGTAATTTTCCAGGAAGCCGAATAATACCAATATAAATTATGGGACAATTTGGCCCTTACTATTAACTAGCCACGTCGCGCGTACGTTTTATCTTATCCTTCAGCAAGAGAAAATAAAGGGCACGCAATGCATGCATAGTTGATGACGCTTTAGAATGTCTCTGAAGCAGGCTTGAAGTATTAGCCACCCCGGAAATGGCAAAACAAACTACATGGAAATTTTAAGTCAACGAAGTCGCTTGAAGTCAGAACAGCCGAGTGTATTTTATGATTGGAGTGAGCAAATCTTTTATGTTGTCTTTTTCAGTTGTGATTATGCAAGTTAAAACTACATAAAACAGGAATGTCGCAAACAACTTACTTGTAAGGGTGCAACTATTTGTTTCAGGGGGACTTTTCCCAGGCATGTTCAAGTGACGCTAACAGGGAGATAAACTCTCTCAACCCGAGGTTAACTAACCGACCCTTCAACCCTGTTTGTACAGTGCAATTTTAGCCGTGGGTTAACAAAACTACGGTTCTGGGGGGGGGGAGCTAAAGGGAATAACATTCCAACCGGGTTGGGGGGGGGCAACACTTCTAAAGGCTCTTGTTACTGCAGAAAACGAAGTTGACTCTGAGAGCTCCAGCCCAATCTCGTTCCCAGGGCTATTGGGAGGGGCCCCTCCTAGTCTTTTGTATATTAGGGAAAAGCCCTAGGCACGAGGTTGCTACGAAGCAGTAGGGGTTAAGAGGCCATCGAACAGCTAGCAGAACAGTTAGCAGAACTGAGCTGGAGTTTTCAACATGAAAGTTAACTTCTCCCTGGATACGATGACGCTTCCCATAGGGTGATTGATTACCTATTTGGATAGTCACGCCAATACGAGCAAATTATTGAACCTCCCTCTTAAAACTGTTACTTGAATGAGACTTGCAGCGATGCAGGCCAGTTAGGGTAGTAGTAGGGTGAAGAGGTTTGTATTTTCATTTGATAAATATTGTTATTAATTTCCACAGATACTTCTGCGTATCAGATAGTCTTTTCCGCCCTTGATGAGCTGGAATTGGATTCTCTAAAGTTTTTTTTCAAGAAGAATGTTCTGGAGGTAGGAACCCTTTCTACAATAAGCATCTAGGTTTCAATATCAGAATACCAACACCCAGCGGTAAAGAAAACAATGATTACAGAAGAGAATTATATTATGACGAACGTCTTCGTATTATCAGAACATCTACTTCAAGATTCTATCAATCTAGAAGACTTTTTCTGATTACGTTGCCGTCAAATCATTTTCGCTAGCTATAGGTACAGTCGAAACACCAGGAAGAATGAAGTATTTACCCTGAAAAAAAGACTTGATTAGTTAGTTGTCCATACTTTTGAATCTATTTTTTTTTTCAGGATGAAATGTTATTTCTCATGAAGTCTGAGAAGGAACTTCGAGACGTTCTTACGAAGGTACAATATGGTTGTTTGAGTTTAATTAGTAAGTACAGGTTTGCGTAGGAGGCATCCTTTGGACAATTGGGTGGCGCGCTGTTGGTTGGGTGCAACGTTTACTGTGGCTAAACAGTCCAATTTGTGATTAAAGATACGACTACAGCTCTGGCTGATGAAATGTGCCTCGTGTAGGTTCGCACATTGCAAAGAAAACTATCTAAGTACATATGGATAGTTTCTTCCTCTCCATTAATGACTTCCAGATAAATTCAAACTTATATTCATACGCCAACTTAAAAAATGCAAAATGCATGATATACAATATGATACAATTGATTATACAATTAATTTTCACTGCGAGTGATATTTGAAAGAATTTTCAAATATCACGTGTAGTGTAAATCCTAAAATGCTGGAGCTTTCATACCATTACTCATTTATTATATAACGGCGTACAAACTATTACAAATTAATAATTAAACGATAAAATGGCCCGCTCTCAGCCGATCACAATGAAGTAATTTTCTCTGTCGTACAATAAATAAATAAATAAATAGTTACACAAATAAGATATAAAATAAATAAAATTAAAGAATTAAATAATTCGTATAGCTCTAATATTAGATCTTTTCTTCTGATATTTAGTGAAAAGTATTCCTATATGACTTCCTACATCTTTTTGGCGTTTCTCTATCTTAGTGAGCTACTATCAGTTTAAAGGCGATTAATCTAACTAACCTAACCCTAAATTTCGAGGTATGCGTGACGCAGGAACGTCTTCACGATTCTATAGGTTACTTGTATACTGAGTTCTTGGTTGATTGCTGATCACTTGCCTATCTCCTAATTGAAGGATTGTCTAATTTCGATAAGTTCTCTCTGTATTTATTTGTTACAGGAATTGGCTTTAGCCTTTGGTCCGGCCTTCAAATTTAGTAGACACTGGTTCAGCACGTGTTATAAACATAAAGGTAAGCAGATACTAAAACGAGATGGATGTAACATATCAAACATGAGAGACAGTGTTTCATCAGGATATCCAAACATCGAGAAGAGAGTTCAAAATACGACGCGCAGCGGAGTACATTTGACGAAATTTGAGGTGTTTGCCGAATAGCCGATAATGGACTGTTTGATATATCTTCTCGGTCGAAACAAAAACTAAGGAGTAAACGGAGAAGTAAAATCGTCAAAAACTATGCCAATTAAGGCCGGGTATCCAAATCTCCTTTCTTTGTTTTAACTTGATGAATTGGTGATGAGTTTGAGAAATTATCTAGAAATCGCTTGTCATGCTTGTTGTTGCAAATAAAGGTTAGGGTAGGTGTGCAGTTTTTTTCATAGCTAATAGAGGGAGCTGGTTGTGCAAGTCCGACAAGTTTGAAAGGGTTACATTATATACGACCCTCGCGTCCATCCATCTTGACGACTGATCTAAAGTTTCTAAGCTCAGTGGAAAAGAGGCCGAGTTTGGTTAAGCCACAAACTCGGAGTGTACTTACACAAGTTAGTGTGACAAGGGCATTTATTGAACTTCATGAGAACAATCTGGAGTGGAAGAGTGGGGTTGNGGGGGGGGGGGGGTGTGTGCATGGCTCCACGAAAATCTTTATGATAGGTGTTTCAAAATGGGCAGAGATATATCTAAAACTCCGATGTACTTTAAAAAGGTATCAATGTAAACTGACAACGAACAGCTCAAATTTTAAACTCATTATAACCCATCAAAACAGGGTCATTCACTTAATGGTAACGCATTAATAGTGCTGATAGTCCACTTGTAAGGTGAAATCAGTGGCTTTGAGTATGACGCCTCATCATAGAATACTCGATTCAATGCATTATCCATCTACAACGACGATAGCTACTGCAAGAAATGGACGGAATTTAGTTATTTTTTGCAAATGGAGATATTTAAGCACACAAAGTTGCTCTCCTTTTGCGTGTGACTTTGTTAACTTCCTTTGTCGATGATTGTTGGCGATAACCAAAGTGAATACTTTTCAGAACAAAGGGAAAGTCAAGTACAAACCACAGAAGGAAAAGCAACAACTCCTAATGGAAATAATGAATCATTTCCAACAACAGCAATTCATGGAAGCCAGCACGAAGATGGTCAAGAATGTGGAATTCAAGGAGGAACCAATGTTGATCAACAAACAGAGCTCCCGAAAAAATCCCCCTATTCCAGCGAAGAAAACGGTAAACAAAATTGCAAGAAGCAGCTAAGGAAAGAAGGAGAGGCTCAAAGCACAGCAGATCCTAAACGCTCTTTTATAGGTAAGCCCAAGCAACTATTAGTGGTGCAGGCGAGGATTGAACGAGAGGAAAACAGTTTGACTCTGACTACGTATTTGTGAGGTTTATTGCTTCTGATGAGAAAGGTCCGACCATTTGCTACTCGTGCAGTGGAAACGCAACGATAACAGCCAGATTGTAAATACGTAGTCAGAGTCAAAATGTTTTCCTGTCGTTCAATTCTCGCCTGCACCACTAAAATATTTGTTTTAAGAAGATCAAATTTCCAAGGGGCAACTATCAGACCGATAGTTCCGAGACATAAACACTCTATTGTCTTTATTGTTCACCACTAAATTAGTTAAATTTAGTTTAATTTAGTGATAGTTGATGAGGCCGAACGCTGAATCAACTATCACCATATAGAAATCGAGAGCGAATAATCTAATTGTTAATTAGTATATACCAAACCAGTAGCTAGTGCTTTTCGCGCATTCTGATTGGTTACTCAAACTTGGTATAGTGCTATTCCGAGCTGGCGCGGCGAAGTCGTAAGCAAAATGGCTTCCCGGTTTGCTACCGTGACAGAAGAGCAAATTTTAGCAGTAAACGAGGCAGCTGTCCCTGAGAGCACCAAGAAGGCTACAAAATTCGGTTTGGCGGCTTTTACAGATACGGTTTCATTATTTTTGGCCGTGAAGTTATTATTGCCTGAACCGATACAAAACGATTTGTTTACAATTGCTAAGTTACATAAAAGTTAATGTTTCGAGGTAGCGAAATTAAAACAATGTCAACAGAGAAATTCTATAAAATATCTTTGTACAGAATGGTTTCAAATGAATGAAGAATTCACAACACCTTTCGAAGAGATGTCGGCAGAGCAACTCAACAAGCCCCTTCAAAAGTTTTACTTGTCCGCAAGAAAACGAGACGGCAGTTTTTATAACAAGACGTCCCTTACCGCAATTCGGGCCGCTTTGGACCGCCACTTGAGAAGTCCTCCATTGTGCAAACCGTTTTCTATTGTTGGAGGCAGCCAGTTTAACGAGTCCAATAAGTCCCTCAGCAAATTTTATAAAAGTGGCCAAATTGCTCTTACTGTGCGCAAACAGCCCTAGACAAAGGAAGTCGTTACAAAGCCTTATGAAGTGGGCAAGTTCGTTGAAATCGATTCACTACAGTCGCATAAATTACAGAAAACAACGTGGTTTATCATCTGTTTGTTCTTTGGAAAGAGAAGCCGAGCAAACCAGCATCTCCTGAAGAAGCAAATGCTCTTGTCACGAAAAACATCGACTGGAGAGAAATACTTTGAAGTAAGCAGAGAGCGAGGTGCAGTGTTCGCCACGAAAAATCATCAAGAAGGCCTTGAAAACAAAGAAGACGAGTCGAGCGGCAAAATGTTCGAAAGACCTGGTTCAAACCGTTGTCTACTGAGGCTGATCGAGAAATATCTCTCCCATCTCAATCCTGAATGCAGCAGTCTGTTCCAAAAACCACGAGCTGCAAGTAATTCCTTCCACCCAGCAAATCATGAAGTGTGGTATTACGCGAGTCCCTTTGGTCACCACACGCTCGCAAACATGTTGCGTCGCATGTCTTCAAGACCTGGAATAAAGCCACACTAACTAGACCATTCAATCAGGGCGACCACTGTCACGGTTTTGTCCGCTGCTAACATCGAAAGTCGACATATCAAGGCAATAACCGGTCACCAGAGCGATGGGAGCATAGAAAGCTACTGTGACACCCCGGCATTCCACCAGTTCAAAACCATGTGCATGAGATAGCGAACTTCTTCGACTTTGGTATTCAGAATGTGGTGGTTCCTCAGACGGCTGCTGCTTCTTCATCAAGTCAAGTAACAACAACATCAAGTACAACCGCGGCTGGAAATTTTTCCGTCAGTGTCACCAAGACGAACTGCAGCGTCTGGTGCAAAGGCTTCGTTCCTGGAGGCACGTTTCCCGACCGTAATTTCAACTTCAATGTCAACCTTCCGGGCAGCAGCTTTCAGCAAAACTTGTGAAGATTCTCTGAGGACTAAACTGAATGATATTTTTTTCCTAGAAATCAAGGCATCGACCACTTCTGTTCTTTTAATTATTTCAGACTTCCCTAACAGCGTAGTAATAGCGTCTTTTCCTTTCTTTTTATGTCTGCAATTTATTTTCATTTAACACTGATGTCAACTGGCTGCCTGGCGCCGTTAGCCCCTATGGGTCTTGTAGTGTGAGAAATCATAACGTGTTTCGTGTGTTTAGTAAAACGACAGCGACAACAACAATTTTTATTTGTACTCTCTCACACTATAAAATACATTAACCGGAAAAACATTTTAGCCACGAGAGTGAAAGTCTCAGGATCTCTTGTCAATAATTTTTTGTGTCTTGTTTTGTGGCTTATCAGTTTATCAGTCTACAGTTCTTAAAATAACACCTTTGCCCGTCCCGGAATGGTCCTAAGACCTTTAATGCGTTTTACAGTAATCAAAATAAATTTTTAATTTTTTAAACAATGAAAATTAACTTTTAAGTCATTAAAAGAACGGTGATGAATTTTAAAGATTTCTGTCCACCGTAGGAAAAATAAATTAACGTTAACAGTAAAAGAGCCAAAACATTGAACAATTATTCCCCGAGACTGAGGGGAATAATTGTTTTAGTTTATACCAAACCAGTAGGATAAAATATCCGCAAAAACGTTCGCGCGCAAAATGTGCAGCAGCGCAAGAAATGTCACATGATACATCAGGTGATAGGCAAATCATAACGTGTCTAGTGTGTTAAGTGAAACGACAGCAACAAAAACAATCTTTATTTGTACTCTCGCACACTATAATACTAATTTGTTTCACGGAATTATGCCTAACGGCTAAATTTTTGACCCGTTTTACAGCTAACGGTTAACCCTATTGAAACCCTCATATGTTAGTGGCATCTGTAAACAACTTGGGGGGAGGTCCTTTTTCTACCCGGCTTGGTATAACAAAGACGAGCAAGAACTAACTCCTTCATGTTTTACAGCCCAAACACGTTTCGTAATATCTGAGATATATTTACTTATTTTCAGGTCCGATACCAAATGACACCATAGAAAGGGAAAGTGGCAAGTTTGAAAATGAGAAAGAAGAATCAATAGGTGATAGCTCTCTAAGGAATATTCCCTGGAGTGACAGAAACAATAACTCTGTTACTGAAAGGACAAGTTCTGCACAGTCAGTTGGGACAACAGGTACAGAAAAACCTAACCAGAGCGTGGAAAAGGTGCCGTCTCAAGACGGCTGTGCTGGAATTGACAATGGCCCCTTTTCTGTTCCCAACTCGTCGAGTTCTTCAATACCACGAGATGCTGGGCTGCCACAAATCAGACCTCAAACGGGTGGAGCTAAGAAACAAAGTTTATCAACAGAAGGACACGACGCAAAGAACTCTCCGTCAGTACAAGTCTCAAAATGTAAGTATGTACAACGGTTAACCATGGTTAAACCAGTTAACTGCAATTTATTGTAAAATGAAAGATGATTGCTGTTAATTCCGCGAGATTAAGGTGTTCAAGAGGATTTTGAAGACTACTTTTAGCAAATGTAGTGAGTTTTTTCCCAATATAGTTATCCGCACAATTTCCACTGACTCGTTGTAAGAACGCTGAGATTCATGGACGAGTTCAAAAGTACATATGAAAACAACAACAGGTAATCTTCATGAGGTCAAAAGCATTATTTATAGCCATCTTCATTTTGTTTTAGGCATTGGAAGACCCTTTGGGGTTAAAGTAAACGAAAGCAACATCAGTTACAATAAAGGTTTTGTCTTAGATGCAGAAGAAAACAAAGAGGTCGAATATAAATCGTTTTCAAGTGCCCAACCTTCAATTCTGCCTTGGAAAATTATGGAGAAGACTAAAAAGTTCATCTGCGCTTGCTTAAATGCTGGCAGTAAAGGGATCATTTATTTTGGAGTTGGAGATAATCAAGAACAGAACTCCAAATTCCTACATGGAGAAATAATCGGCCTTGAGGTTGAGAACATCAAAGACGACATCACTAAAGCTCTTCAGTTTCTCCTTGATAATCACATCAAGAGCGACGATGGACCGCTACAAAAAGGAGGAGAACAGAATTGCATCAACATTCATTTTGTCCCTGTGACGTGTCAAGGGAATCATGCCAATCTATACGTCGTTGAAATAGAGGTTTCCCGAGACTGGCGATTCTGCAAAGACAACGTTTTTCACTCCAAAAGCTGGATCGAGAAGCCAGGAGGGAGCAAAGATTTCACTGCAAAGAGAGGACTGAATGACCTTTTTAAAGTCAAAGATACGTGGGATGACGTTGCAATCCGTACCAAGGGAGCATCTACTTGTGTGAAGCAACATGAAGTAAAAAGGCAAGTGAGGGAGCCTTTAGAGACGAAGTACAAGGAGTGGAAAAGGGAAGCAAAGCTTGGTACGTGGATGTCTCTCTTTTAGTGGAAACAGTTTACGTTGATTTTCGATTCGGATATACCCCAGCATGATTTAACGTTAGGTAGAGAATAAGAAGACTTTTAACTACGGTCTTTTTATTGACGTTTTTATTAACTGTTTGCAGCTATGTAGATATGCGGAGTTGATGCAAAGCAGTAGGTACGCTGTCCTTCCGAGCCATGCTAAACGCTAAACCTGTCTATTTTATTTCTCTTATCATTGTAGGTGCAAACGAATTTACAGGTGGTAAGTAGTTGCATACTTTACTGATTTTCCCCGTAGGCTTCGCCATTTTCAGTAATCTATTAGACTTTTGGTGCATCAGGTTTTTTTAAAATATTTAAATTTTCTGAGTTGACTGTACAAAATATTTCTACCGCCTGTTTACAAGCACGATTTTAAGTTTGAAAACATTATTTCAAGGTGCTTTAACGAAAACAGTACTACATACCAGAAAGGGCTTTAAATGTCTTTNGCCTTGCTAGTATTTAGGCATTCCACTCGTATTTTTGAAGTGTGTAGAAGACAAAACAGTTATCAAGCACTTTTATGTTCGACGATTAAATAGACCGCATTTTCTTATGTATCTTAGCGTTACAAATTTTGTAACTACCCTGTCGTGATAACATCAAGGATTGCAAAGCAAATGATAGCTCGAGAGTCTTCTAGGTGAACCAGTAGCATAACAGGCATGCGCTCGGTGTTAAAAACAAGAGCATCCATTAAGCAAACTTGACCTATTCTACGTATGTCAGTTCGCATTTTTACAAATGCCTGCGAAATACATATAAAATCACCAGAAAATGACGGAGAAAGCCATCTGCCCATTTTCATAGGAAATATAACAACTGACTACCCCTGTGTCTGAGCCAGGCCAACACTTCTTCAGAAAGCTGGCCACGCCCTTGATCATTGTAACATATTACATAAATTCCAGTTTAGTTAGGTAGAAAATGCAATAAATCGTAATTATCTATGAAACAATATGGAATGAAATGAGCCACAAAATACTTTTGTTGTTGTACAAGGTACATTTACATCTTTCATCTTTCGTTCTTGCTTATGAGGTATTCAAAACAGATCATGTGTATTGAGCCTCAGGCCCTTTTTTTTTTTTTTACAAAGAAATAAATTTTAAGTTGCAGGACACAACCCAGACGATCCTGATTTCAAGATGTANTTTTTATAAATAAATAAATTTTAAATTGCAGGACACAACCCAGACGATCCTGATTTCAAGATGTACAACACGATGGTGAGAGAACGACTGTTTGACGTGAACATTAAAGATTATCACTACATTCTAGTTGCCAACAAGGTGCCTCCCCAGTACAGAGGCACTCCTCATCTATCATTTCTGCAAAGCATTCCTTGGGTAGCCGTTTTTGATCTGTTTGACGCTGCGTCGAAGAAAGATGGGTTATATTTCATCTGCAACGAGACAACGGACGCACGTCGTGCAAATGTGAAGACCCTGGATGACTTTAAAAACATCTCGTCGGACTGGAATGCCAGCAAGGATTGCCCACTGACTACGAGAGGTACAACTTGGATTTTACAGTTGAAGCAGCTGCAAGACGAAGAGTGGATAACATGTTCAGCCAAGGACTATTTCTATCGCACACTCTCTGCTTACAAGCAGTATTTCCCTGCCGGAAGACTGGTTATTGCAATTCTTGGTCTTGGGGAGAACGCAGTCATGGAGATGTCAGATATTGCAGAAAGCTGTTTTAGCATACTTGGTGGAGAAATTGCAAGAAAATGTGTCACCATCATCAGTGAAAGCAAGAATTTCTCAGATGCATTAATAAAGAATTCAAAGTCAGCCTTACGAAATCAGCTGAGAGAATGCTCCCTCACCGACCTCTCATGGGATCTGCTGAGAGAAATTGTTCGAGAAATGGTTGGACCTGGCGAATTTATGGAGAGAGGAGCTACCACGAAACTTCCCTATTTTACCGGCCAAAAGGAAGTCCTGAACAAAGTTATTCATTCTTGGGATGATCTCGAGGTTTACTGCCCAGAACCTCGATTACCAAACGCGACAGAGGATATTGAGAAAGCTAGGAATGCCTTTTATAAAGGCACACAAGCCAGCCAAATTAACTTGCTTTACAATCACACCATCGAAAGAACCCTGGAACAAGAGATAACTCAAAAGATTGAGCAGGCGGTAAAAACACTAAGAAACCCTAGCCCAAGCGGTGATCGCATTTGTTCTGTGAAGACATTCACTGTTCCGTATGAACCAGGATCTGGCGCAACGACTCTCTGTCGCAGAATTCTGTGGAACAAGCGTAAAGACTACCGTTGTGCGGTCGTCAAGGCCGTAACAAAAGCTACAGATTTTCAAATTGATCAGCTTCAGCGTATAGGCTACAATGAGAAGCAACAAAATGTTTCACCCCCAGTTCTGGTTCTTCTCGATAATCTCTCCGAGTCCGACATTCGAGGTTTGTTGGAGCGACTAATAACGAGAGAGACAAAATGTGTCATAATCGCTACCTATCCTATTCAAACGACTGGCTCTACAGTTGAGTTTGAAATGAAACCACTACGGCAACTGGATGAAAATGAAATGAGCCACGTCAGGAACATCTTAATCAACATTACCAGAGACAGCGGACGCCGAAGAGAAGCTGAAGAGGTCCTGGAGAGAGAAAAGCGATTTATTTGGTTTGGATTAGAGCTGTTTGGAAGGAAGTACGTCAAGATAAAGGAACGACTTCAGAATCATATCGAGAGTATTTTGGCCTTCCTTGGTGATTCACATGGCATACATGAAAAACTCCTTTATTTCTGCTGCTTTCTCCACTTCTACAGTAATGGTTCGGGTATCCTACCTCATGCATTCGTGGTTGATGTCCTTAATGAATCAAGTGCTGAGACGGGTCACGAGTGTGCACGAAAGACATCCATTCATGACAAATTCGGAGGACTTCTTCTTGAAGGATTCAGCGAATCCTACGGATATCATGGTTGGCGACCTGCACACTCCCTTGTCAGCGAAGTTGTCAAATCACGAATGAATACTGGGGAAATTGCAGTGGAGCTTTTGGAAAACACCGAGAGAGGAAGAGCGTATGTGAATAAATTCCTGAGGGAGC